TCCTTCTCCTGTCTTTATGTCATCAGATTTGTTGTCAGTTTCAGGGCCCTCAACAAATCTATGTAGTTCTCAGTGCCAGAAACTTGTAGCCAGGGAAAAGCAAACCCCTGTCTCTTGGCAGCCATTCAAGCAGTGACCCTGAGCCCTGACCAAGTGTCCCAGAAGTCATTTGCTTTTTTCTGCACTAAGCACACTTGGCACCGTCACTGAATTGACCTGGTCTGAAGTTGCAGGTTGGATTCTGTGGAAGCAGTTGCTGAAACAGAATTTGAAATGCAACTTACTTATTAGGAATTTAACACACGGCCAATAGATATTAAAGTATTTGAATCAGGGGCTCAATTTGAGTTAATGGGTTCACTTAGAGTTAAGTGTTTCTGTCCATATTCCCTTAAGAGCAAAGCGTGTCAAGGAACTGGGTGGGTTTTTTAGTTAGTTTGTTGGTGGTTGGTCTCTTACTTTTTGGTTAGAATACAAATTAGATTCAAGAATGCTCCATACCTGGAGGCTCTGACACAGTGTGAAATTCCAAGCCTTATGGGTCATTCTGGCTATAATCAACCTGTGTAATCATCTTCAAAGTGAGTTTCTCAACTTTTTTTCCTCTTGTTTGAAGCCATCAGTTAGGCAGCTTTTAGTGTGAGGAACTTCACTTCTTCCTATCTTTTCCACAGCATTAATTATGTATTCTGAAAACTTCTGCTCTAAAAACAGATGTTACTTCAGGAAACTTCTGTAAGTTTTACTCGTTAGTGAAAAGCATTGTACAGAACCTTTTGCAGAGGGGAAAGGACTACCGCCATCTAGCTTGATCCTTCATCAGTCCTCACCTCCCTGGTTAAGACAACTTGGGCTCACTAATGCTTGTCTTCTCCTCTTCTTCCCGAGTATGCCACCCGATTGCATTTCTCTGTCCCCTCGCTCCTAGATGGTGCCGTATTACAGTTTTTTTAATGGAATGTGAGCCAAAATGATTAGTGCCACTTCTAAGCCTGGCATTAACCTGCTGGATTAAGAGGATCCAGTGGAAGACTCAGAGACCCTAAAAGATGGCAAAGCCACATAATGAAAAGAGCATGGATATCTGAATGATGGCATGGTGTAAAGCCATCCACTCCACTCCATGTTCCATATTAGACTATAGCATATGTGAGAAATAAACCATTAAGCCATTTTATGCTAAGCCACTAGGATTTCCTTTTAAAAAACCTGCTAATAATCAGCCTCTACTAATAGTTTCAGACCTGCTTCTCCTTATTGGATCAGGAATGAGCACCTGCTACTTCAAGGACAGTAATCTCCTCACTAGCTAGTGACCCTGTGGCCTAGCATGTAATATGAACTAGGACAATCAGAATTTTTCCTTCACAAACAGCCTCAGCTTGAAGTAAATGTAGTTGGATATGAACCTCAGTACATATTATGTAACTTATAAAATATAATGTATTTGTTTTCTATATCTGTTTTCAGCTTCCATTTGACCAGTTGGCAGAAACTTAATTTCAGCCATTTTAAATTTCATTTAGGGCTTCCTTAATGAATTCAGAGTGCCAACCTCCTCCATCCCAGCTGCAGATGGCATCTATGTGGTGTTTTTTCTTTTTACTGTGGCAGAAAGCCATTTACTGTTAGATTATTGTCCTGAGCACCAAGTCTTTCTGATTTCAGCTCTCTCAGCTATTTCCTTGCTCCTTTGTACCCAGAGCGTACATCTAACTGCTCCTTACACCACTGTTGGGAAGCTCCATGAGGCTATCTCAGTTCCTTTGCATAGACATGTGACACAACCATCTCTATTGCTCCTTTTGCATATTGGTGAGGAATAACCCTGCAGGACTTACCACTTCTCTGAGTTCCACCCAAGAGTTAGGCACATGTCCAGTTTAATTTTGAACCCCCCAGACTATTCGTTTGGTTTTATGGTTGTCCCCAAGAAATTGGGTCAGGCTTGTAGGACACAGGGATTCCCATTAGCATATAATTATTTTGCTTCTCATCTGCTTCATTTTCTCTGTTGTCCAATGAGCCCTCTGGTATGAGTGGGAGGAATGGGAAAACAGTAATGATAACAGGAAATAATGGATAGGAACTATTATGATTAATATGTTAATATCATCCTACTTCCACACACACACAAAAATCTGCTATCTGGTAGCTTAACAGAAAGAATCAGATTGAAGAGTAGAACTGAGCATGTAGGTCCAGAGCCAGCTAGGGCCCCAAATTGCATTGTGGCTCCAGCTTAGTGAGGTTCAACCCTCCCTATACTTACAGTCTTGGATATTTGTTATTATTAATTTGAGCAATTTCTAGGGAAGCTCTCGCTAGAATGTTTCCACTCAGTTTCTTAAGCTGGAAACCTTGGAGTCATCCTGGGATTACTGCAAGTTTCCACAGATAACTATCTTGATATGAAAATGACATCATATTAACAGCAATAACTCACATTTCTTAACACAGGTTGTTTGGCTCTATTACTTGATTAGGTATACCTAGACATACCTGTATCCCAGTCTTTGTTCACCCTAAATGTCCCCCCCCCCAATACACATATACAAAAAATGATTCCTCTCCTCCCTCTTTGGTATTCAGTAAGTCATCAAGTGTTTTTGTTCTACTCCATGAACATTTTAAAAAATCTGTCTCATTGACTCAATCTCCAACCCCAGTGCACTGTACTTAGGTATGGTCCTCATTTCTCACCTGATTTCCCTTACCTGTCTGGTATCTTTTCAATTATCTGTCCTCCACATGGCAACCATGATTTCCCTCACCTATCTGATATCTTTTCAACTATCTGTCTTCCACATGATAACTAAAGTAATTTTTTCTTTAGAAATGTTAAGACATCTGATCATGCTTCTCTCTATCTTTCAATGGCTTCTAATTGGCCTCCATGTAAATTCCAAACTCCTCACTTTAGCGTACAGGGTCCTGCATAATCTGGCTGCTCTTCAGTATCACATACCACCACTCCCTGACATACCACCCTTCATGCCTGTCATATGGAACTCTTTGTAGTTTCCTGGCTGATGCAGCTTCACACCTTGGGGGTTTTGCATGTGCTGTGTCTTCAGGGGGTTTTCCCTGCCCAAGCCGCACCCCAGATGAATGAAATCACAATCTCTTGGTGGGGTGGGGAGATATTGATATGTCTTAAAGCTACATGGGTGATTATACTACACATTCAAGTTTGAGAATCAGCACTTTAAACTGCAAGTCAAGCATCACTTCCTCTGAGAAACACTCCTTGAACCCCCAGCCTGATCAAGTTGTTCCTTCTCTCTGTTTCCATAATACCATCTGTGGCTTTCTATCATAATGGTGATTATTCTGTACAGAAATTGCTGATTTACTCATCTGTCTCTGTTATACTTTAAATTCCTTGAGGGCATGGACAATGTCTTAAATGTCTTTGTATCCCAAGTGCATAGCATAATGCCTAGCATAAAATGGGTACAATAAATAAATATACAAGTTTGTGAAATGTTATTGAAAAATTTATAGACCACCTACTATATGCCAGGCATGATGCTAACAGGTTTTTGTGTTACCTCATTTAATCCTCATAACAATCCTAATAAATATAAATTATCCCTGTGTTATAAGTGAGGAAAAAAAGGATCAGAAAGGTTAAGTGATGTATCAAGTCACACAGCCAAGATCTAAGATTTAATCTGAGATCTTTTAACTCCAAAATCAGTGTTTCTTTCTAGTTATGGCTGGCAGAAAATAATATTTGATAGCTGTATGTCACTTATATTAGTTTTCTATTATTACATAACAAATTACCACAAACTTAGCAGCAAAAAACAGTATCTACTTATTAGCTTATAGTTCTTTAGGTCAGAAGTCTAGGTACACTGTGGCTCAGCTTGTTCCTCTGCTTAGAATCTCACAGGCTAAAATCAAGGTGTCAGCCAGGCTGAGTTCTTATCTAGAAGCTCTGAGGAAAAATCTGTTTCAATCCTCATTCAGGTTACTGAAAAAATTCTGTTCCTTTCTGTTGTAGTACTGAGGTCCCTGTTTTCTTGCTGGCTGTCAGCGGGGGACTGCTCTCAGCTCCTAGATGCCACATGTGTTTTCTTTTCTAATGGTTCTCTTCAACCCTCAAGCTAGCAACAGCATGTCAACTTCTTCTTGTGTTTTATTTTTTTTCTTAAAAATTTTTTTTTTGGCCAGGTGCAGTGGCTCACGCCTATAATCCCAGCACTTTGGGAGGCCAAGGATGGTAGATTATGAGGTCAGGAATTTGAGGCCGGCGTGGCCAACATGGTGAAACCCCATCTCTACTAAAGATACAAGAAATTAGCCAGGCGTGGTGGTGCGTACCTGTAATCCCAGCTACTCAGGAGGCTGAGGCAGGAGAATTGCTTGAACCTGGGAGGTGGAGATTGCAGTGAGCTGAGATTGCGCCATTGCACTTCAGCTTGGGTGACAGGGTGAGACTCCATCTCAAAAATAAATTATTTTTAATTTTGATGGGTACATAGTAGGTATACACATTCATAGAGTCCATGAGATATTTTGATATAGGCAAATGATGTGCATCTTCTTGTGTTTTAAATCTCAGACTTAAAGGGCTCATTTGATAGGTCATGTTCATTCAGATAATCTCCCTATTTTAAGGTCAACTATTTTGGAACTTGAATTATATCTGCAAAATCCCTTTATGGCAGCACTTAGCGTTGGATTGAATAATTAGGAGAAGGTGTGTGTACACCAGGGGCCCAAATCTTGGAGATATTTGTAGAATTCTGCTGCCATTGTCTGAATGATTGTGTCCCCTCCAAAATTCACATTAGAACTTAATCCCCAATGATATCATATTAGGAGGTGAGGCCTTTAGGTGGTGCTTAGGGCATGAGGGCTCTGCCCTCATAGATGGGGTTAGTGCTTTATATAAGGGCTGGAGATAACTAGTTGTTATTTTACCCTTTCATCCCTTCCACCATATGAGGACAGAGAATTAATGGTGCTATCTCGGAAGCAGAGGCCAGGCCCTCACCAGATACCAAACCTGCCTACACCTTGATCTTGGACTTCCTGGCTTCCAGAATTGTGAGAAATAAATTTTTATTATTTATGAATTGCCCCGTTCCGTGGTATTCTGTTCTAGCAACACAAACAGAGACATCTGCCTACCACACTGCCTTATGCATTATAAAGCTTTGTCTTCACATATATTATTTCATTTTATCTTTTTCAACAACCATATTAAATAGGCAGAATTATGTTATGACCACTTTTTAACACAAGGAAGTGGGAGCAATAAAAAGCAGCTAAGTAATGACAGAGAAAGAACTGAAACCCTTTTTCATTCAGTGCTCTTTTAATGCCATATCCATCATTGCTTTAAAAATATTAATCTAATTTTGATATAATATAAATGAAGAACAATTGTAGTCTTATGGAAGTAAGTTTGCTCCAACGTAAGAAGACGTGATCTCCACTGTATTCTAATCCATTTGTATAAACATTCATATTAAAGAAGAATTAGTCATGTTATAAAAATAGTTTATAGTAGGGCCTTATAAATTGTACTCATTATCACCGCTACGTGCTTAGTGAACAATGATGACAATTAACCTTTTGTATTAGTCTGTTCTCACACTGATATAAGGACATATCCGAGACTGGGTAATTTATAAAGGAAAGAGGTTTAATTTACTCACAGTTCAGCATGGCCTGTAGGGAGGCCTCAGAAAACTTACAATCATGGCAGAAGGGAAAGCAAACATGTTCTTCTTCACAGGGCGGCAAGAAGGAGAAGAATGAGAGTTGAGCAAAGCGGAAAGCCCCTTATAAAATCATCAGACCTTGTGAGAATAGCAAGTGGGAAACCACCTCCATAATTCAATTACCTACCACTGGCTGCCTCCAGTGACACATGGGGTTTATGGAAGCTACAGTTCAAGATGAGATTTAGGTGGAGACACAGCCAAACCATATCACCTTTATTAATGTTTTACATGTAAAACATGGATTGCCCATGTTTTGTTTAATTTTGTGCCCACCAACAATTAAATTTATATTTATTGTAATAAATGCTCATACATGTAAAAGTGATTTAGGAAAGTCATTTGAATTTGAATTTAAATTGGCTTCCATTATAAAATTTTGGTATTTACTGAATTTTCAGGAGTGTCCTTTGGTGAAAAGTGAGGTGTGCTTATAGGAGGTTTGTGTGTGTGGTTACAAAGGCATGCAGTTGACTCTGTAAGCAAATGTAAACCTATGCCTGGGGTATTTCTACGTAGTTGCACTGGCTTATTGAAAGTCAGATTGACAGAGAAAACCATAAGCAGAGGTGATATAGTAGGACGTATATGTATGCCTCTGTGTGTGTTTGGAAGGAACACACAGGAAGACAGTAAAGAGGGTGAGAAGGAAAGTCTCAGAGTGAAAGACCAAGATATAGAGAGTTCTTTCTTTCTTTCTTTGGTTGCAATGGGTATGGATTCTCCATTGCCTGACTCTAATGGGAAAGTTAGTTCTTTCACACCTAATCCACCTGCCACCTCCCTTCCCCATCTCTGTTAGCTCAACCAGCTAGAGGATAGGCAGTACCATCTTTAAAGGGAGGTGTTTCTACACTGCTGAGAACCCTGTGCCTCTTTCCTATCTCTCAGAGAGGCCATATCTGTGGGTCCGCAATATAAACACACTCATGGGCTGCAAGGGGACAGATTCTAGGCTTTTGCATTCCACTCCAAAAGCAGTGGCATGTATTGACAAAGTCCTCTTATTACTGAGACAATTTGATTATAGGTGGTAGGGGAAAAGTCTTTGCATTTCTTGAGACTAAAAATATATTTGTGGGAATATTTTCAAGATATCTACTTAAAAGTATGGTAGAGAACTGGAAAATCTCTGAGTGGGGCATAGGGTTTCAGAATTGCTGATCTGTATGTAATCATTTGGGCTAAAAGAGCTGGATATCTATGCTATCAAGGTAGAAATATGTGTTTGGGGCATGATACTAAGAGTGAGAGTCTCCTCCTGAGAAATGAATTGGGTGCTGGATAATAGCCTCAGATGTGAACTTTACAGGAAGAAATTAGTTCCTCTTTATATTGCTTGATAACAGAACAACAGTTCTTTTCCCTTCCTTCCTTCCTTCCTTCCTTCCTTCTTCCTTCCTTCCTTCCTTCCTTCGTTCCTTCCTCTCTCTCTTTCTTTCTTTTTCCTTCTTTCCCTCCCTCCCTCCCTCACTCCCTTCGTTTCCTTTTCCCTTCCCTTCCCTCCCCCTCCCCTCCTCCTCTCCCTTCCACTTCCCCCTTCCTTCCCCTTTCCTCTTCCCCCCTTCCCCCTCCCCTTCCCTTCCCTCCTCCTCCCTTCCCCCTCCCCACCCCTCCCCCCCTCCCCTCCCCTCCTCTCCCCTCCTCTCCTCTTCTCTTCTCCTCTTCTTTCTTTCAGACAGGGTTTCACCATGTTACCCAGGCTGGTCTTGAACTTCTGGACTCAAGTTATCCACCCATCTTGACCTCCCAAAGTGCTGGGATTACAGGGATTCACCACCATGCCTGGCCAGAAAAATAGTTTTAACACACTTATTTGCAATCTTTACTTTGTGTCACATCAATCAGGCCACAAAGCTACTATCAGAAATTTCTGAGAGAGCAGTCTTTTTTAACAAGTCAACTAATTTACAATCTTTGCTTCCTATGGTCAAGTAGTCTAGAAAATAAAATGCTTATTCACAATAGCAAAGACATGGAATCAACCCAAATGCCCATCAATGATACACTGGATAAAGAAAATGTAGCACATATGCACCATGGAATGCTATGCAGCCATAAAAAGGAATGAGATCTTGTTCTTTGCAAGGACATAGATGGAGTTGGAAGCCATTATCCTCAGCAGACTAACACAGGAACAGAAAACCAAACACTGCATCTTCTCATTTATAAGTGGGACCTGAATGGTGACAACACATGGATACATGGCGGGGGGACAACACACATTGGGGTTTGTTGTTGGGTATAGGGGGAGGGAGGGCATCATGAAGAATAGCTAATGGATGCTGGGCTTAATAGCTAGGTGATGGGATGATCTGTGCAGTGAACCACCATGGCATATGTTTACCTATGTCACAAACCTGCACATCCTGCACTTGTACTTCTGAACTTAAAATAGAAGTTGAGGGAGAAAATACAATAAAATGCTTTTCTTTTCACACACACACACACACACACACACACACACACACACTTAAAGACAAGTCAAATTATATTTCTTCTTTTGGTCTTGACAGTATGGATTGAGTGGTTAAGTATATGAGCTTTGTAGTCAGGCAGACCTGGATTTGGTCCCAGTTCTATCAATGAAGAGCTGGGTGACCTCTGGCAAATCATTTTGCCTCTCTGGGCCTTAAGTCTTTTCACCCATAAAGTAGGAGATAATACTAATACTTGCCTTACAGGGTTATACTGAGGATTAAATGGGATAATAAATTTAAAGTACACAGTACAGTACCTGAAAGATAATATTCAATAAATTTTAGCTATTATTGTTATAATTAACTAGTTTTGAAAATTGACATATATTGCTGTTTTACAATTGAGAAGACCCTTTTGCCTTCAAAAGACAGTCTTATGGCCTCCACTATCCCTCCGTTGAATAATTTGCACATTGAAAGAGACAATTTCTTTTCAGATCTTATTTTCGAGGCAGTCTTGCTATGATCTATAGGTCCTGAGCAAGATGGGGAAGCAGTACAATGCAAGCAGGATTGTGGGCTTGGATATTGTCTGGTTTTCAGTTGAGAGCAGACTTTTATTTCCACCAAGGAAGCAGTACCATAAGATGGGTAAGCTAGAGGGGAAGTAAACCAACAATTTGAGTCATACAGAAGAGCATTTGTTTCCAAACAGACCAAGGGAGGACGCTGAGGAAAGATGCTTAACAAGTAGCACAGTGTAAACTCCTGTGCCTCTGCAAATATTGATAACTTTATGAGGATTATTATGAGGATTAAATGAGATAATGCATGCAAAATGCTTAGAACAGTACCTGGTGCACATAGAAAATACTCAATAAATATAAGCTATGTATCTATTAATGTTGTACAAGTTCTGTTGCCACTCTTTGGAGATTGCGATTTAGTAGATTTGAGGAGGTACCTAGGAATTTTCTTTTTGTAAAATCTTCTTCAGTTTATTCCTCAGCCCTAAACGGAAACATGTTGCTGTATGTCCCTGCTATGATCATGTCTTTCTACTTCCACAAACCACTCTAGTCTCCCCACTTCAGGATAATGCCCAACAATTCAGAATTGACTCTTAATGGAGTACATAGTACCAGAGAACTACATACTGGAGTGACATAGGCATATCCTGGAAGCTGCCATTTAGGATTCATCGTATCTCAGGAAATTTGTGCCATTCTAGATTAAGAAGCATGTATTCTATTTGCCTACTAACAGCAATCATGTTTTTAGGTCATGTTGGAAAGATAAATCCCTTAGTGAAACCATTTTTATTGATAGCAGACTCTAATTTTCTTAATTCTGGAAATATCCAATCAGTGCTTTCTTTTTACCAGTCTCTCTCTTTTTCATGCTTAGAACAAAGTATTTTGGTGTGCTGTAGGCTGGTAAAAGGAATGAAAGCTCATTAAGAATGGTGAAACAGGGATTAATCTTAGTGCCCTAGTTTTGGAGCATAAATGAAAGAGATGGGCAGAAAGGGCAACTTGGCACCTAGGACTTTTCTGACCAGCTGTGTGGAGGTTTGCCGAATTCTCAGACCATTCCATTTCCTTTTTCTGATCTGACATCAGAAAGCCAAGCAGGCCCATCGATTCCCATGGAATGAGGAGCGAATTGTGTTATACAGCTCTTCATCATCAGCAAAGTATTAGTAAGACTGGAAAGACTTTTCCTCTTTCAGCTATAAATGGGACCTATTTTTAAACAAAGTAGAGACAATAGAGACTGTTGGTGATAGTAACTCATGCCTCAGGGAAACAAGTCTTGTCACTGCTTGTTAATTTCAAATTCATAGACACAA